TTTCTCTGTACAAACCTATATGTGTACTACCTACTGTTACTTTTCATTATATTTTGAATACAGTTGATTTCAAAAACCTGTGCTTCCCTCACCACCAGGTCTGTAATCACTTGTACCTTGCCTTATATTATTATTCCCAGTTTGCATTGGAAAGATTGTCTTCACCAATTGCTAGAAGACTTGATCTTGCCTCTTAGTGGAACCCTTCCAGCATGAGAATACTTGCCCATTGGAAATTATTTTCCCGGATTCATGTGGCAGACCTTGTAGGCTAACTTCCTCCAGTTGTAAGTACAACACTTGCCCATATTGTATTGAAGTGTATTTATTTGTTGCAGTCCACCATTTAACCTTTCACTGTCATTTGCTTGGATATGAGGGAATGGGTCTGTGTGGTGGGTATGCACAGTATAAAAATAAATCCTGCCCCATGCAGTGCATGATGGGAACAGCTAACCTCTGACATTGTGTTTGATTTACGATGATGACTTTGAGGTGCATTCTGTATCTTTTTTTCATGCTTTTATTGACTGTTTCTTTGTATCATTTGATAGAATTGAAGACATGCTAGTGGATTGGAGATGATTTTAATTATTTTCAGAAAAGAAATGGCTTGAAATAGGTCCCAAAGTGACAGAAATATTTGAATTTGGCAATTTTCCTGAAGAAGGATAGGGGGCCCCTGTTAACCCCTCGGTCTGTTTTATGAGTTTTTAATAAGTCTTCAGTTATTGGGATGGCCTAAACCATAACCACTCATTCTTGGTTTATATTTTATTAGCCGAGAAGTAGGGTAAAACTTTATAATATTATTATTATTATTATTATAATCAAAAAGAAGTGCTAAGCCACAAGGGCTATACAGCGCTAAAGCTTTATAAATTTTTGTATGATGTTAGAGTCCAAGTGGAGGGCAAGCCTTACATAGGAAAAGCCTAGGAAGATGATTAATGAACAATGGACAAGTTGCTTTAGTGGCTAGAATGTCAGTAGTGGAATGCTTACAGTATTTATTTTGGACTTTTGTTTTTAAATTGGAATTTGTTGAATTTTGTGCAAAATTACTGACTTCTGCTCACTTTACAGTAGTTCTGATAGTTGAATGGGCAGTTTCTTGCAATCAGTCAATAAAACAGAAGGCATACTAGCAAAATAGTCAGGAATTGGATCAGTTTGAGCAGCAGCATTGGCCTAATTAGCCAAATTTTTATCACTCCCTAGTCAATATTTACATGATTTAATTTCCTGATCACTTAGGTTTCATTACCTTTCCAAATCAGTTAATGGGTGTCAGTTTCATTTACAAACTGACTGTTTGTTTGAACAGTTATTAGCACTTCTTTGAGACATAGATGAAGCTGGGGAGGGGGGGGGTTCTGGGAAGCTAATTATTTACTTGGAACTATAGTTGAAGGGAATAAAAGGAACGAATAGTTAAAGAGAATGAATGAGCAAATGGATTTGTTAGTTAAAAATAGGAGAGGAGAGTTATTAAACAGAGAGTTAGAGGTATCAAGATGATGGAGGGAATATTTTGAGGAATTGCTAAATGTTGATGAAGATAGGGAAGCTGTGATTTCATGTATAGGGCAAGGAGGAATAACATCTTATATTATTATTATTATTATTTTTTTTTTTTTTTTTTTCAACAAGTCGGCCGTCTCCCACCGAGGCAGACGAAGAAGTGCTAAGCCATTATAACATCTTATAGGAGTGAGGAAGACCCAGTTTTGAGTGTGGGGGCAGTGGGTAGAATGGAATGGGGTACAGCAGCTTGGATTGATGGGATAAAGATAGAAATGTTTAAAAGCAGGTGGGGATATAGTTTTGGAGTGGTTAGTGTTTTTATTTAATAAATGTTTGGAAGAGGGTAAGGTACCTAGGGATTGGCAGAGAGCATGTATAGTTCTTCTGTATAAAGGCAAAGGGGACAAAAGAGAGTTTAGGAAGGGTAGGGGGTGTGTAGACCAAGTGTTTGTAGTGATAAACATATAGGTGAACAGTATTTAGATAAGGGTAAAGAGGTTTTTTGTGGCATTTATGGATTTGGAAAAGGCATATGACAGGGTGGATTATTATTATAATCAAAAAGAAGCGCTAAGCCACAAGGACTATACAGCATGACAGTGTGGATAGGGAAACAATGTGACAGATGTTGCAAATGTATGAAATAGGTGGTAGGTTATTGAAAGCAATGAAGAGTTTTTACGAGGATAATGAGGCTCAAGTTAGAGTATGTAGGCAAGAGGGAGATTATTTCCCAGTAAAAGTAGGCCTTAGACAGGGATGTGAGATGTCACCATGGTTGTTCAATATATTTATAGATGGAGTTGTAAGAGAAGTGAATGCTTGGGTGTTGGCAAGAGGTGTGGGGTTAAATAATCTAACACAGGGGTGGGAGTTGTCACAGTTGCTCTTTGCTGATGAACTGTGCTTTTGGGAGATTCTGAAGAGAAGTTGAAGAGGTTGGTTGATGAATTTGGTAGGGTATGCAAAAGAAGGAAATTAAAAGTGAATATAGGAAAGAGAAAGATGATGAGGATAAAAAAATTAGGTAACAGAAGATTGGATATCAGATTGGAGGGAGAGAGTATGGAGGAGGTGAATGTATTCAGATGTTTGGGAGTGGATGTGTCAGCAGATGGGTCTGTGAAATAAGAGGTGATCATAGAATTGAGGGGAAAAAGGTGAGTGGTGCACTGAGGGTCTGTGGAGACAAAGAATTTTATCCATGAAAGCAAAGAGGGGAATGTACGAGAGTATAGTTATACCAACGCTCTTGTATGAGTGTGAGGCATGGGTGGTGAATGTTACAACAAAAAGAAGGCTGGAGGCAGTGGAGATGTCACGTCTGAGAGCAATGTGTGGTGTGAGTATAATGCAGAGAATCCATAGTTTGGAGATTAGGAGGAAGTGCAGGATTACCAAGACTATTATCTAGAGGGCTGAGGAGGGGTTATTGAGATGGTTTGGACATGTAGAGAGGATTGAACAAAATAGAATAACTTCGAGAGTGTATAAATCTGTAATGGAGGGAAGGCGGGGTAGGGGTCGGTCTAGGAAAGGTTGGAGGGAGGGGGTAAAGGAGGGTTTGTGTGTGAGGGGCTTGAACTTCCAGCAAGCGTGCGTGAGTGTGTTAGACAGGAAATGGAGACAAATGGTTTTTAGGACTTGACGTGCTGGTGGAGTGTAAGCAAGTTAATATTTATGAAGGGATTCAGGGAAACTGGCAGACCGGACTTGATTCCAGAAAATGGGAAGTACAGTGCCGGCACTCTGAAGGAGGGGTGTTAATGTTGCAGTTTTATAACTGTAGTGTAAGCATGCCTCTGGCAAGACAGTGATGGAATGAATGATGATGAAAGTTTTTCTTTTTTGGGCAACCCTGCCTTGGTGGGAAATGGCCGATGTGGTAATAAAAAAAAAAAAAATCTATGGGAGAAACCTAACAGCAGAAGACCCCGTTACTTCCTATTGGGATGTGGCATGGGATACACTAGAGTAATATAGGGATATAGCATGGGATACACTAGAGTAATTTCCCTAGAGTAATGTAGGAAAACAGCATGGGACACACTAGAGTAATGTAGGGAACATCGTGGGATATACAAGGGTAATGTAGGGAAACATCATGGGATACACTGAATTATTATTATAATCAAGGGGGAAGCGCTAAACCCGGAGGATTATACAGCGCCAGGGGGGGGATGTGGAAGGCATTCAGGCTTAATTCGGGGAACTGGAGCACAGATCCAATTCCCTAAATCAAGAGCCCCTCACCAACATCAGGGATACACTGAAGCAATGGGATACACTAGAGTAGGAAAATTATTATTATAATCATAACTGAGCACTAAATCCACAAGGTAATATAGCTAGAGTAGGAAAAGGGCTTGGTATTCCTTACATATATAACCCCAGGGGGCTGGGGCTGTGTGATGTATTATTATTATTATTATTATAATCAAAAAAAGAAGCGCTAAACCACAAGGGCCATACAGCGCTGACTGTGATGTAGGGGATACTTTTTTCAGATCAGTCTCGTTTCTCATAGAAGTGTCAGTGTTTCCACTTAAGGGTAAAATACATTATTTGAGGGTAAGTAGGCCTTCCTTAGGATACTCTTTAAATTTTGCAGAATCTATGTCATACAAGATTTTCTTAGGGTTGGGGGCCCCTCAAGGGAGGTTCCATGATGTTGTTGAGGGGCTCTTGATCCAAGAAATTATACTTGTCCTCCCTTTCCTCTGATCAAATCTGATTTCCTCTCATTTCCCAGATCCAATACTTTACATATTATAATCATAACTAAGCAATAATCCCACAAAGGTGCACTTTACAGAAATGTAATAGAGTAAACTAGAGTGATCTGTTTTTATGTTGTGGTAATAGGTAAACTGCTGAAATAATTATTCTCTTTTATTAAACTTATTTGGGCAAATCTGCTTTTTAAAACTCAGTCTTATTAGTGTTTTGTTAGTCTGTTTTGTTTACAATATATTTTGATATACATATTTATAGTTTTTGTTTCAAGACAACTTGTTCTTGAAGTTCAGAGTAATATATGTAGGTGCTTTATATTTTAAAGGCAAAGTAAGGTCTGCATACTAGGATATCTTTCTCATCAGGATGTCACCTCTGTAATTAGTTGAGCAATGCTCAGATAAAAATATTGGTGGGGGATTGGAAATGCCCAAGTTGTACCCCTTTAGCAAGCAGCCTCAGGTAATACAATACTTCCATCATACAAGGTCAGCCTCCAGATTTTCAATTTCATGGTAGCACAGGGCTGATAATGATCATTTTTCCCCTCTGACTAGTAGCTGAATTTTACAAGGGGAATATGTATTTCTCTCCAATATAGAGGCAAGGAAGGGGACAGAAAATCTAATTCCTCAGATCAAGAGCTCCTTTGCCACCTCAAGGGATCCCCCTGGAAGTGGGCCTGGCTGAAGCTTTAGGATAATACCAAAAAAAAAAAAAAAAAAAAAAAAAACAAATTTCGATGTATCACTTTATTTGAGTAAGTTGCCAGGATGTTGAGGGCCCCAGCGTGTGGCTGCGGTGCCCAGTCCAACACTCCCTTCCACCCGTCCAATAGGTCCAGTGTGGCCCTCTTCCCCAGCCTAGCACTCCTCCCTTCCTCTTCTAAAGTGCCTTGTACCTCTTGCCAGAATGGTGACCTGAGTGCAGCACTCAAGCACATATTTACTGTAGATACCATCTGACACTGTATGGGCGCCATAAGCTGGTGCAAGGGCTCTTAGATAATGTCTGAGTTTTGTGCATCAGTGCCAAGAGTTTGGTAATTGGTGCTAGGGTTCCAAAGTTCAGTGTCCACATTCTGAGAGTCACTGTTGTCTCTTCAGAAAAAAATGAAGGACTGACTCCAGTAGTTTGTTTAAGAGCTCTGGGAAATTTTTGCACCAACATGGGTTAAGAGGTCAGCAAGCTAAGCTAGAGGAGTGCCAGGATGAGTCATACTGCCCTGCAGACAATGCCATTGCTGCTGCTCACCAACAGTAAATACATATTTACTGAAATCACTTTACAATAGGGTGAGAAGACAACTACTGGAGGCCCACAACAGGTCGAGCATTGCCCTTCGGACCGGCACCACATCTGGGACACCCACTGTAATAAATAGAACTGTACATAAATGCATCAGCAGTGCTGAGTGAGCTAAAACTGAGGCTAGAAGGCGGTGCAGCTTCCAGAGTGAGAAGCAAGTGGGTGGTGGGTGGGCCTCACTCTTGCCACTCCTCGCCCCTACACCTGCCTCACTCACCACAACACCCGCCTCACTCACCACACTGTTTATATAAGATGAAAAAGGTGCAAGCTAGGAAAGTGTATGAATAATACCAATAACAATATGGCAGAATTATATAAAGTAGTAAAGCTGAAGAGGACACAGCAGGAGGTGCAGCAGGGGACGGGCACACTGTAGGCCGTCTCGTGTTTTACACTGGCTACTGTTGGTCATGTCTTATTAATACTACATATCTACATCACAGCAAACAAGACACTACTGCTTAGAGGCCTAGCAGCCTACCTTCTCATTGAGGAGGTTCTTAAACTAGTTTGGACTACCTCCCTGGGGTAAACAGGTCTCCCAGATCAAGGCTAATCCTGGGATCCCAGCTACACACACAGATAGCAGTGAGCAGGAGGCACTAACAACACGCCTTTGACCATTCTTAATCTGCCATCTTCACTAGCAAGTCTACATCGTGGCTTGAATATGCAATGCAGAATGCATTAGTCAGTGCTATATATCGTTAAGACTTTTTAAATCATAAAAAAAAGATGTTTGATATTGGCACTTTCTTGGCCACCAAATTAAAAACAAACAAAAAAGTAGAAAATGTTTGGCACTACAGGAAATAACTGAATGAGTATGGAATACTTGGCACTAATATTTGGTAACACTAAAAAATAAATAGTATAAAATTATATTCAGCATAGCTGTGTGTTCAGGTTGAGGAGGGCATGATTAAGGTGGTGGTGGTGATGGTGGGTGGTGGGCAGGTCACAGGTTACAGGAAGGCACAGGTGGGCGCGACACCTTCACGTCTACCACACGAACTACACCACACCAACCTACATTAAGACACTATCGCATAAGACACTGTTGTTTAACCTTCAACAAGGCACTCGGGTTTCATACAGGTCTGAGGCTTCTTGTTCTTGGTATTGAATACCAATTGCATCACATACATTCAGGAATATTAATCAATAGTACATTGGTTCTTATTAAACCAACTAAATAACACAGTAAATAGTCCATATGTAGTGGGCAACAGGAAGTGGGCCGCAGCAGTGGTGGCTACAGGCTGATGTATGGATCTAGCCTGACCACACCCCACCACTTGCCCATGACTATAAGGCTCACTGATACAACCACAACACTGCATACACCATGTATAGTGAACCACTTTTCTTTATGGTACACAGGAATTTTCACTTATGTATCACTTAACATGTATACTTCATCTGTACAAAGGTCACTGTCTAGCAAAAATTGGATACAAGGTACAGTAAAAAGAATAACAACTACACCACTTGGTATGTTACAGTGATATGTAAGGCTAATGATAACACATATGCTATTGTACAAGGCTACATCATGTAGCTCACACAAGTTCAACACATGGGCTCTAAAACGGGCCCACTTGAGGCCGTATTTGCCAGTCCATTACTACTTCTCAGGGTAGCTTGGGCAGGCATTAATGTCACTGTCTGAAAATATTGGGTTTGTTCCTGCACCCTCATTAGGGGCGCTGGGGAGCCTCTCCGCAGATTACTCCCCAAAGAAACTTCATTCGAGGTGTCTGTACCTGTGTGCAGACATCTGGCTAAGGCCCAGGACTGAATACTGGCACTTGAGGCAATGGTAATGCGTTTGCTTCTGATTATGGTTGCAACCTTGAATACCACACGGCTGGGACGGTGTAAACTTTTCAAAACCTGCGGCATTGATGGAATCTCGCTTCTGGTGCTGTCTGCGATGCGCCACTACCTTATTGGTGTCTGTGCACACAAAGTCGCATTTGAGACAGTGGAAATGTGATGCCTTGTTTTGCTGCTGGCCTGTGAATATAAATTTTCATTAGTGCTCCAAACATTATTTTGTTCATTTAACATTTTGTGCTGTAATGTGTACTGTAATGAGTGAACAAGTATATGTACACTAACCAGAAAATGACAAGCCCTTGGAAGACACCTTACCTATCATTGAGGCGTAAACACAGTCAGGGCGCCCACAGGAAATGTTTGAGCGAAACTGGTTGAAATCACCTCCCATGAGGGTATCAAGCCGCTCGTGGCGTGCTGTGTGCTGCACAAAGCGAGTTTTGTCACAAAAGGAGTAACCACAGTCCTTTCTCATGCAATGAAAATGTGTTTGATGCTCCCGGTATCCACAGTGTGGATATTGACAGTCCTCGTTGAACCTGAGGGCAGAAGAAAGGTAAGAATTTAAGATACTGGTAGGCTTAAGATACTCAAGAGTTACTGTACCAACTGTATTTTGAGGGAAGTTATCTGTTTTACAAATACAAAAAAATTTCATGGAACTAGAACAGGTAAACACCAAGTGACGGCATGTTCCACTGTCTCTACAGTTCAGTACAGTGCAGTGCAGTGATATATGATACACAAAATATTGTGCAGCTTTCAACTGCAATTTGTGGGCTCCTGTGAACTAAATTACTGTATTCCTCCCATGGTAATCTGTATTTTTCAATCCATGATGCTTTGAATTACTTTTATTCCTCCCCTTTCCTTTTGTTTTTGTTTTTCCATTTATACATTCTCAGTTATGTATATTTCCTTGAAGTAGTTTTCATTCTTGTCACATTTTATTCCCTAGTGAAACCAAATAACATCTGTTTTGGAAAAAATGCAGTATTACGCTGTCCTTTATTGATGAAGTTTTGCCCACATGGTGTGTTCTTTTGTCACATATTTGTGATGTGAAAATGCCTGCCATTTGGGCAAAACATCAATAAAGGATCACAATATACAGAGTTTGTTTCTTTCTTTTCCATTGTGTTGGTATTTTAAATAATTTCTCTCTATAGCATCTGCTTTCCTTGACAAGAGCCAACCCAGCAGAAAAAATTCTTGTGACAGACATCTTACGTACTCTTTTTTAACAGCCTTAACCCTAAAACTAGTTTTCAGAGTTCTTCTACCCTCTCAGCCTATTATTATTATTATAATCAAGGGGAAGCGCTAAACCCGGAGGATTATACAGCGCCTGGGGGGGAATGTGGAAGGCATTCAGGCTTAATTCGGGGAACTGGAGCACAGATCCAATTCCCTAAATCAAGAGCCCCTCACCAACATCAAGGAACCTTCCTTGAGGGGCCTCTCAGCCTAGCCAGCTAAAGTATTGTCATCACAATCTGGAAGATCTTACACATTATGCAGTATTTAAAAATTTCTGGGAACAATGTTACATGTTGGCACCTACTTAGAAGATGAGCTCTTAGGAGACAAAATGCTTATAGTATCTAGTATCATGTAAGCTATACAAAAAATTCAGGAATACATATGTGATAAAACAATCAATTTTTCTTACCTAAAGCGGATATAACCTTCAGGTACAGGCTCATCTTTGAGCAACCGTATGGAGTGGTTGGAGCGAATCTTCTTGGCCTCTTGAGCATTGAAGTCTTCAGCACCAAGCCTCTTACCTAACATGGCTAGGTGAGGTGAAGTTCCTAACGAGGAGGGCAAAAGAGGGTTATGATCTCCCCCAGATCCAGGCATTCCTGGTCCACCCATTCCTGGACCGACACCAGGTAAACCCCCTGGAACAGGGGACCCATGAGTCAAATCACCATTAGGACGGACTCCAGGCATAATGAGGCCTTGATGGGCCATAGCTGCCAATGCTGGATGGACTTGCCAGGCAGCTGGTGGCAAAAGACGTGGTAATGATCCCGGGAATATCCCTGCCATGCTCAAATGTGGTCCAAATGGAGATGAAAGTCCATGGAAACTGGCAGCCTGAGTGTACACCATTGGAAACTGGGGAGTTGTTTGGGGTCCACTCAGGGTGCCACTGATGCCACCACTGCTTAGTGGTCTTGGGCTGCTGGTAGAGATACTCTGTGTTGTTAGCCCAAAGCTACTAGTACTACATTCATTGGGACTTCTTGGGCTGACTGGATGATCATTGATCTCAATTTTTGGTTGAATATTTCCATCTTCCTCTTCAACTTGATTGGTACAAACATCTGCATCCTCTTCATCCCCTACAGAAAATCCACCAGAGTTCATTGGGCTACAAGTAGCATGTTTAATAAGATGTGGTCTTAGTTTTTCATGTTCACTAAAAGCTTGATTGCAAATCTGGCAGTGGAAATGTTCTTTCTTTTTCAGCTTACAAAATGGTCTACCACAAGAATATTCAGGGCCATACTGTGGATGACGTTCAGGACAGAGCCACTCAGAGCTTAAAGAAGCAGCTCCTAGTGGCGTCTCTTCACGGTTGAGGGTCTGAAGGATACGTGTTGAATAAGGGTCCCCTTGTTGACTCAGTGGACGAGGCTGATCACTGTCAAATTCACTACGATCATCAGTATCTACTTGATCCATGCGATCTCGAATGGGTGACTGCATGCCGAGAGGTGGTGGTGAGCGACGAGTGGCAGTGATGGTGAGGCTTCCTGACACAGGCAGAGTGAATGTAGTAGAATTCTGCTGGCGTAATGATGGTGGAATAGGCGTAACAAGGGCACCTGCTTCACCCCGGGTGCTGGAGGGTCGGTTGTTTGATGGGGTAGATGTAGGAAATGGCGAGAGAGGGTAGAAGATCCCCGACGACTTCACCACTGGGGGGGAGAGATCTACATGTCAGTGTAACCTGCAGCTTGGCAAAGAATATCTTCAAGATAGCAAATGATAAAACTAGGCTCAAGATAGTAAATAGGTTATATTATAGCAACCTGAAATTAAATCAGGCACATTAATAATTTGAAATATGATACATACAGTATTACAACCAAATAAAGTGTAAAACAATTATTTTAGTACGTTATAATATAAAGAATGAGAAATATAATGCAATGTCTATAATCATAAAATTTAAATAAAAAGATTAATAGTGAAGGGGAAGCATAGCATGGATTACTAGACTCAATATAGGATAATGAGTAGTTAATTTAATATCTATTATGCACCTTATACTCCTTGTGTGGGCAGTAGTCCAAAGATTACAGGGGTACAAATTGGGTCCAGGGACAGGGCCCCATAAGATAATGGAATGAACAAATATTTGTTAGCCAATGAAATAATACTGGGTATTAATCATATCCAAGTGCTAGGTTGAGAATTACATTGCAGAGGCTGGCATATTAATGACCAAATATGTAAATGACAGATGATTATTACTCAGAGTTAGAAACCTCTTAATTTTTCTCATACCAACCTTGCTGTGCTTTGCTGGGTGATTCTCTGTCTGCACCAGCCGTTGGGGCATCCATGGGGCTGTCAGGACGCTGCTTTTTAAGGTATATGGGTGACTGAGGGCCCAGACTGTGGGTGTGGACAGCCCCATCCTCTTGCTGGTGCTTCTCAGCATGGGACTCCAGTGTCTGGTAGCGCACGAAGGAGAAGCCACAGCGAGTGCAGTGGAAGTGTTTGTTTACCTTATTACTGCGGGAAAGTAAAAAAAAAAAAAAAAAATCAATGAGGAACCATTCATATCGTGCAAGGCATTGGAAATATGATACTTCAGATATGAAATGCTGTACCACTTGCCTAGTCATTACATAATATTACAAGAGAAAATTTTCATACAATATTTTTTTTTTTTTTTGAAAAATAAATTGAATAAACTGTTGAAAGTAATCTTCATAAACAGAACAGTTTAAAAGTAAAAAATATCTCATCGTTATTTTGATTAAAAAATAATAATAATTAAAATCACATTTTATTCTACTTAGAGAAATTTAATCAGGATTAATAGCTGTTTTGGTTAAGATTGAAAGAGTTCACTCACAATGAATTTTAGAAGAGCTGTTAACTTTGCAAGTTAAAATCCTACTCCCCCAAAACTTTACCTTTGACAATTGGGTGACCGGCAGTCAATATTCCTGTCGATGGCAATGAAGCCCTCAGGGATGGGTGTATTTTCATGGAAGTCGTGGGCATGGAGGGGGAGGACATCCGTATGAGCGGTAACATAGAGGCAACGAGGGTGGGCACAGTGGTAGTGGCGCCGGCCAAGCAGTGGGCACAACTGGTCGGGGCACGACACACCTTCACCCCAGGGATAGAAGCCCTCCACTATCTCCGCCTGCCAACAAAAGAAGATGGCATGGTCAAATATTATGTTGGACTGCTATAATTGTTTTTCATATCATTCTAGTTATTCATATGCCAATGGCACACAGGAAGAGATGCTATCCTACATCACAGGCTCAGATGCTCTATGGCCCATATGAGTTTAGGGTTTCCCTCTAAATATAATAACAACACACCTTAGGCTACATATATCCCTCACAGATGAAGACATGATGCCTTTTGTTTAAGCTTTGTAAAATGCAATTACAGCAGACCCTTGAACAACACTGGCTTGAACTACGCAAGTCCACTTATAAGTGGATTATTTTTCAATAAATATATTGGAAAATTTTGGAGATTTGCATCCCAAAAATTAAGAAAAAGTTTGGTATGTCATGAATGCATAAAATATATGTAGATACTAGTCTATTTTATCATTCACTACCGTAAAAAGTTAAAATTTATCAATGCATATGTACAAACAATTACTTGTTCTATTTGCAGTCGAGAGAAATGCAAATAAACAAAGATGCTGAAGCAAATCAAGTTTATTCTCTATAAAGATTACATAATATATATTATTATTACAGATCATACATGTTCCATTTGCATAAAATTAACTGTAGTACATACTGTACTACTGTAATAATTGATGTCTAGTGTTGGTAATATGTATAACATCTACAGTGTTCTGTATCATATAAGACAATACTAGTGTAGATACTGACAGATGATTTATCTTGTAAACAGATGACAAACTTACTGTATCTATAAATACAGTACAGCACTCTAAATGTATTTTCTCTTCCTTACGATTTTCTCAACATTTTTTTTCTCTAGTTTACTTTATTGTAAGACTAGTATATAATACATTAATCTACTGTTAATGTTATTGGTAAGGCTTCCCGGTTAACAGCAGGCTATTAGTAAAGTTCCCCTCAAGGAAGGTTCCTTGATGTTGGTGAGGGGCTCTTGATTTAGGGAATTGGATCTGTGCTCCAGTTCCCCGAATTAAGCCTGAATGCCTTCCACATCCCCCCCAGGCGCTGTATAATCCTCCGGGTTTAGCGCTTCCCCTTGATTATAATAATAATAATAATATATTAGTAAAGTTTTTGGGGAGTCGAAAGTTATACATGGATTTTTGATGTAGGGGGTCAGTGCCCCTAACCCCCGTGTTATTCAAGGGTCAACTGTATATCATTACACATCCTCCACTTCCATACCCATGCAGAAACTAACAAAAGTGGAGAGGTTCTTGACAAGAGTAGTCACAGATTTGAGGGAAATGACCTATGAGGAGACTAAAAGAACTGAGCCTGATGATATTAAAGCACAGAAAAAGCAATGAAGACATGATAATGTAAAAGAAATTTTGAGGACTTGACTGGGTGGGTAGACATAAAAGATGGAAAGAAATGGTAACAAATGGGCACAAGTAAATTTTATACTCGACTAACATTTAAACTGTGTTCAATGTGGATACAATTATTTGTACCTTCAAATCTTTTACCTGCCACTATTTTTGACTCCAGAACAACTCTTTGGCTCTTCAATCTAACCAAACATTTAAAAGAAATATAAGACCAGGAGGGTTCACACACTGTATCTTGGTTAACTACAAAGGTGATTACTGTGTGTTCAACGTATTAGTGTGCTTAACTATCAAAAGTAAATAATGAAATCAGTAGCTGCTGTTCCTCCAATTAGCAGTGTGTGGAAGTGGTACAAAGATGACTTATTCATTCCTAATTTATTACAGTTTCATGATACTAACAGTGGAATTCAGCCACAAAACACACTTAAGTACAGCCTCTCCTCATTTAGCAATGTACTCATTTACTGACAACTTGGACTTACGATGGGCTCTCTGACCACTGTGCATACCTAATAATGTATATTAGAGCTGATTTCCTCTATTCTGTATATTACAATATGAAGACAGTGCACTACTGTATAGTATACATTTAAAAATATACCAGAAATGTTATAAATGATGCACAGGTGACATTAAAACAATATAAAAAATGGTTGACACAAACCCACTACCATTACAGTATGCTCCTCACTTATGGAAATAAATGGTATAAAATACCGACACAATGGAAATATAAACACATATGCAGTATAATGTGATCCTTTATTGATAACATTTTGCCCACACAGTGGGCTTTTTCAAGTCACAAACAGATCTACCTGGGGTGTCAGGTTCAGAATGCTGGGTCAGGTGGAGAATGCTGCATCTGATGATCTACCGAGTGGGGTTATAGCGTCTAAAATCTTGGGTAGCTTGAAAGGGAGATTGGATAAGTTTGTGAGCAGACCACATGCAGTGTTCCTCCATTCCTATGTTCTTATGTGGGATAGCGATGAAGTTTCTTGGCAAGTGGTTCAGCTATGTTATAGAAGCCATTGTTCTGGTTGAAGTTGTTGGAATAGAGATAAGCGATGATTCTTGGATTCTTCGGTATTGAGTGTTGTCTTCTCTGGCGATAAGTCTTGAGTTTCTGTAGTTTATTAAATGGTTGTGTGAATTACGGTGTTGTACACAATCATTCCTTGTATCGTCAGACCTGCTTGCGTATTGGTGTTCTGAAATATATGTTTGGAGGTCTCTTGATGTTTCGCCCACGTATAATTTGCTGCAGTCATTACAAGGGATTATGTTTACCCCTGAAGATGTTTAATGCCCGTCATCTGCAGTCTCTGATGAAGTGACGAGGATAGTGAAGTTTGGAAAATACCTGTTCAATTATAGTGCATTCTTCCTCAAGGAACTCATTGCTGCAGATTCTGAGTGCGCGCAGGAAAAAGCCTATAATTACACCACGTTTAGTTTTGGTGTCGTGGTGAGAGTAGAAGTGGAGAAGATCATTTTGGTTGGTAGGTTTTTGATAGACTTTAAAACGAAGTTCATGGTCAGCTTTGCAGAGAGCAACATCAAGGAAAGGAAGAGTGTTGTCGACCTCTTCAAGTGTGAACTGGATTGAGGGCTCAACCTGGTTGAGCTTGTCTTGGAGCCAGGTGACAGATGAAGGAATAATGATGGAGAAATGCTCGGCTTCCAGATGTTCCATGTATAGATTTGCCAGGACGGCACTGAGTGGCGAACCCATGGGTAGTCCAAAAGTCTGCTGAAAGAGGTGATTTTCGAAAGAGAAACACGTAAAGCCAACACATAGTTCAACAAGGTCTGTGAAATCGCTGGCTGGAATAGGAAGATCAAGTGAATTGTCAATTTTCCTGCGCAAGAGATCGATGGCTTGTGTGGTAGGTATTTTGGTGAATAGGGAAGTTACGTCAAGGCTGGAAAATTTCTTGTTCCTGATATTGATGTTGCGAATGCGATTGGAAGATCACCCGAGTGTTTGAGATGTACTGAACTGATAATGCCCAAGAGTTTAGAGAGGTGTTTTGTGAGAATTCCTCAGTTGGTGGGGAGCACTGCCTATTCCCGAAGATATGGGCCTCAATGGGATACCAGGCTTGTGAGTTTCCAGCATTCTGAACCTGACTAAATACTCGCGCACCTTCCACCCCAGGTAGATCTGTTTGCGACTTGAAAAACCCCACTGTGTGGGCGAAACGTTGTCAATAAAGGATCACATTATACTGCACATGTCGTTTATATTTCCATGCTCCTCACTAAGTGATGAATTCGTTACCGACGTGGTCCTAGGAATGGAACTCCATTGTTAAGTGAGGAGAGGCTGTATATTTAATCCAGGATAACCTAGTACAATCATACAGTGTGACTCATTTCCATGTTTTGAGGAGTATTACATTCAGCATACCAAGACTAAAATAATAAACAAAACAGAATAAAAACAATTATACCATGTATTCCAAGTGGAGCATGTCAGGCTAAGAAGCATTTTCCCATGTTTGAAGTGCTAAAACATTTTTAAAAACATCTAATATAATAAACTAGTGTACATATTGGCATCAATAAATTGTAAAACTTAAATATTGCTGGCTCACTTACACTGCTGTTGCAATGCATGAATATGTATTCACCAACTTCAACACAACATAAAATTTTAAGTTTTTATCAAATTCCATTCATTTTAGTCTTATTCAATTAAAATTTTTATTTGGGGGTATGCCACAGTTGAAGGGTTAAACATGCCAGCCATCTCCCACCAATGAAGGGTGACCCAGAAAAGAAAAAACGCTTTCACCGTCACTCATTCTATCACTGTCTTGCCGGAGGTGCGCCAACATTACAGCTCATATGCCCCTCCAAACTGCAATATTCCCACCCCTCCTCCACTGTACTTACCACCTCCAGAACTCAAGTCTGGCTAACCAGTTTCCCTGAATCCCTTCATAAATGTTACCTTCCTCACATTCCAACAGCACATCAACTCATAGAAACCACTTGCCTCCACCCCTGTCTAACATGCTCAAACATGCCTGCTGCATGTCCAAGCCCCTTGCATACACTATATATACAAGGAAATCCTATGATTTTACAGTTGTTTCAAGGTGTGATACTATTCAAAACATGCAAACATATCACATGGTTCGACTTTCCTGGGTTGATTATTGTTATTATTATATTTAGGGAGAAATGCTAAACCCAATGAGGTCATACAACATCTCACCAACATCAAGGAACCTCACTTGAGGGATCAGCATCAAGGAACTTTACTTGACAGACCAGCATCAAGGAACCTCACTTGAAGGACCAGCATCAAGGAATCTTACTTGAGGGGGCAGCATCAAGGAGCCTCCCTGGAAGGGCCTCCATCAAGGACCCTATGGGCCTCCAAGGAACCTATCTTTAGGGACCAGCATCAAGAAGCCTCCCTTTAAGGAGGTTCCTTGACTGCAATAACAAAAATCTTCACAATCTATAAAAATATGGTTGCCTAGTCACAGACCGGGCTGTGGGGGCACTGATCCCCAAAACCTTCTCCAGATATACCTCAGGTATAGAACATCTAGTTGTAAGACTGGATGTTCTATGGATGAGATCTGGGTCCAGTTTGTACAGTCATAGATTGTTAATATAAATAACATGGCTCTCATGTTTATCACACTGTTTATCCATGTATTCTCTCTAAAATGTGTGTAACATTATATACTTTTGCACTTATTCCATGCTGTACCATGTCACTGGGGGATGGGAAGGGGCAGATTTTTTTTTTTTATATTTTGTATGCAAGACTTTCTTAACATACACAAATACTTAGGCCCAGCCTTTGGACCCATTATGCACCTCAATAAATCCTTTGCAACACTGCCCACAGGATGGGTATGAGGTGCATAATAAAGATATCAAAATAACTTAAGCAATAGACATCAGAGGTGAGGAGCACTGCAGCAGTCTAATGCTCAGTAACCCCCAACTGTCATATATGTATTAATACCAACATAATGCAGCACTGTATGACCCTGGTGGATTTAGCACTTAGTTTTGATTAAAATAATACGTAATAATAAAAATATCAACCTAATCATTCAAATTGCTTACTTGTGGTTGGAGCGGATTTGAGAGGACGGGACCTGTGAGAGGCAGAAGAATGGGTTGAGGGCCACCCGGGGTGGTGGGGTGACCAACAGTACTACAGTTGCTGGTACTACAGTTGCTGCTGGTGCTGCAGGGGATGTGTAGTCTCGGTGGGGAAGTCTCCCGTCCTAGGTGAGCCAAGTGACCCAGGGGTGTCATCGGATGGGGACCTATGGGCATCCCGAGGGGCCCGTGTGGAGGGGGTGAACTCTTGGGCAACTTGAAGCTGGTGAATATGGCCTGAGGGGTGTCGTGGGCACTCGATACAGGAAGCTGCAAGGAAGGAAGTCGATTTTGACGGGACAGAAACACTTTGGTGTGTGTCACGCTCTGTAATGTTAATTCGGAACGAATTATACACCCGGAGGACAAGTTATCCTCTCATATGTTTGACAAAAAAATTCCAAAAACAAAAATACTGTGCTGATCATGTGGAGATTTGCCCCAATCCCTACGGGAAAAACTTTTTTAAATTCTTGGATAGAACAGTTAAGTTATTGTTCCTTACATAAATTTTAGCTAGGATAAGTTAGGGTGCTAGATTAGTTTATTTCGAAAGTGAAAATTAGCATCTCAAAAATCTGCATAACTACATTTGTTTCTTCTGGGAGGAGCAGAAGCCAATCTGTGTGTTATATGTTAACAGTTCCAGGAATCTTGACCTCTATGGTCCGGTCTCAAACCAGGCCTCCTAAATGGTTAAGAATAAACACTTAAACACACAGGGAAGTAAATATAAATGTATTTTGAATGCTAGTAGAGATTTGTAAAAATTTTCTTCCTGTATGTTTGAGACAAAAACAGACCACCAATCCTACTGTAAAAAAATTGATTGACAGATTTGTGCGTCACATTCGGATGGAAGATACACTCAGTCTTCAAAGAGTTCCTAAAACCTAAACAAACTAAGAAAGTTGCTATGCAATAATCACTAGTTACCAAGTCAATCAACTGAGCTCATCATAGCACTCAATCACTCAGCTGCTTGTTACAACATTTTATTAGGTTTAGGATTTATCAAAACATGCACCTAAGTAAGTAATAAAGCCACATTTGACCTATAGACTAACATCAAGATTAAAGTAACCTCTGTAATAGTAACCAAAGTAAACTCTCAGTGCATGTTAGATAGGAGTAAATGGAGATGAATGGTTTTTGGGACCTGATGAGCTGTTGGAGTGTAAGCAGGCTAATATTTTGTGAAGGGATTCAGGGAAAACAGTTAGCTGAACTTGAGTCCTGGAGGTGGGAAGTACAATGCCTGCAATTTAAAGAAGGGGTTTGTGGTATCTGCAAAGACAGTGATTATGTGTGAATGATGGTGAAAGTATATACAAAGGAATCTTGGTACTCGAACTTAATTCATTCCAGAAGATTGTTTGAGAGCCGATCCGTTCGAGTATCGAACATATTCTTCCCAACCAATTTTCTTTTTGGTTGGCTGTTATCATTAATCTTCGTAGGCCCCACGGTGACTCATTTATACAATATAAAAAACACCAAAAAATGTGAAGAAACACAAAATAGTTTACAGTGAAGTTCTCGCAGGTCGTGTTTACCGAGGTTCCACTGTACGTCATGCCGAATAGCTAAAATTTGTCGGTTAGAAAGAACTCATTTAAAATTAAGTCTTTTCTAAAATTTTGTCTTATACATTGAAATATATATTTTTCTCATTAGGTTCAGAATGATTTTTGTGAAATTATTGCATACACAATTTTTTTCATGCCTTATTTGGCAAGAAGGGCATTCCCATTTAAGCCAAAATTGCAAGTTTTACCTATTCAGTCCCCTCAAGGAAGGTTCCTTGATGTTGGTGAGGGGCTCTTGATTTAGGGAATTGGATCTGTGCTCCAGTTCCCCGAATTAAGCCTGAATGCCTTCCACATCCCCCCCAGGCGCTGTATAATCCTCCGGGTTTAGCGCTTCCCCCTTGATTATAATAATAATAATACCTATTCAGCATGAGACACACACACATTATATATACATATATTACCTGGAGTATACCTGGAGAGGGTTTCAGGGGTCAACGTTCCCACGGCCTGGTCTGTGATCAGGCCTCATGGTGGATCAGGGCCTGATCAACCAGGCTGTTACTGTTGGCCGCACACAACCCAACATACGAACCACAGCCCGGCTAGTCAGGTACTGACTTTAGGTGCCTGTCCAGTGCCTTCTTGAAGACAGCCAGGGGTCTATTGGTAATCCCCTTATGTATGCTGGGAGGCAGTTGAACAGTCTTGGGCTCCTGACATTTATTGTGTTGTCTCTTATTATGCTAGTAGTACCCCTGCTTTTCATTGGGGGGGATGTTGCATTGTCTGCCAAATCTTTTGCTTTCATAGGGAGTGATTATCGTGTGCAAGTTTGGTACTAATCCCTCTAAGGATTTTCCAAGTGTATATAATCGTGTATCTCTTCAACCTGCATTCTAGGTAGTACAGGTTGAGGAACTTCAGTGTTCCCAGTAATTGAGGTGTTTTATCAGTTATGTGTACCGTGAAGGTTCTCTGTACACTTTCTAGGTAAGCAATTTCACCTGCCTTGAAAGGTGCTGTTACTGTGCAGCAATATTCCAGTCTAGACAGAACAAGTGACCTGAAGAGTGTCATCATGGGCTTGGCATCCCTAGTCTTGAAGGTTCTCATTATTCATCCTGTCATTTTTCTAGCAGATGCAATTCATACAATGTTATGGTCTTTGAAGATGAGATCCTCTGACATGATCACTCCCAGGTCTTTTACATTAGTTTTTCACTCTATTGTGTGGTTGGAATTTGTTTTATACTCCGATATAGTTTTAATTTCCTCACGTTTTCCACATCGGAGTAATTGAAATTTCTCATCATTGAACTTCATATTGTTTTCTGTGGCCCATTTAAAAATTTGGTTGATGTCCACCTGGAGTCTTGCAGTTTCTTCAATGGAAGACACTGTCATGCAAATTCGGGTGTCGTCTGCAAAGGAAGACACTGTGCTGTGGCTGACATCCTTGTCTATGTCAGATATGAGGATGAGGAACAGGATGGGAGCGAGTATACTGTGCCTTGTGGAACAAAGCTTTTCACAGTAGCCTCCTCAGACTTTACTCTGTTTACTGTGGCTCTTCATGTTCTATTTGTTAGGAAATTATAGATCCATTTATCAACTTTTCCTGTTATTCCTTTATCATGCATTTTGTGCACTATTACATCATGGTCGCACTTGTCAAAGGCTTTCGCAAAGTCAGTGTATACTACATCTGCATTATGTTTGTCTTCCAGAGCATCCAGGACCTTGTCATAGTGGTCCAGTAGTTGGGACAGACAGGAGCGACCTGCTCTAAACCCACATTGCCCTGGGTTGTGTAATTGATGGGTATCTAGGTGGGTGGCGATCTTGCTTCTTAAAACCCTTTCAAAGACTTTTATGATATGGGATGTTAGTGCTATCGGTCTGCAGTTCTTTGTTATTGCTTTACTGCCCCCTTTGTGGAGTGAGGCTACGTCTGTTGTTTTTAGCAGCTGTGGGACGACCCGTGTCCATGCTCCCTCTCCATTGGATGCTAAAAGCACACGATAGGGGCTTCTTGCAGTTCTTGATGAACACGGAGTTCCATGAGTCTGGGCCTGGGGCAGGGTGCATGGGAATGTCATTTATTCGCCTTTTCTAAGTCATTTGGCATCCTGATAATAGGTTCGAGTATCAAATTCTCTCTCTCATAAAAAATTAATTTAGGTTTTTGACTCGGTCTGGTTAGTGGCTCGCTAAAAACTGAGTAATATTGGGACTTGTGTAGCTCACTCATTTCCTTGCTGTCATCTGTGTAGGACCCATCTCGTTTAAGTAGGGGCCCAATACTGGATGTTGTTCTCGACTTTGATTTAGCATTAGAAAAGAAATATTTTGGGTTTCAATTTCATTTATGGCTTTTAGTTCATCCCACATTTCTTGACTCCTGTAAGATTCCTTTAGCTTTAGTTTGACGTTTGCCATTTCTCTGACCAGTGTCTCCCTACGTATTACAGATATAATTTATATACATACATAAGAGAGAGAAAGAGCCCTTTGTATATACTATACGTATACTGAGATGGGCATTTCTTACTATATGTATATTTAATAATTAATACACATCTCACAGTGTATGTATAGTGACATTTATAACTTTTAACACAACCTATATACAAAGAAGTTGATACTGATTTGGTAACCTTTTCGTGTATATAATAAAAGTTTACTCAATATAATGCCTACTCTAGGTATCAGCAAATTCCTGACTGGTGGTGAACAGGTGATAACACAGCCTTACTGACTTGCGCAGATCAACCAGTGATGTATGATTTATGTGGGTTTAGCAGGTGAAATTACTGACCTAGAAAATGTACAGAGAACCTTCACGGCACACATAACGGAGATAAAACACCTCAATTACTGGGAGCTCTTGAATTTCCTGAATCTGTACTCCCTGGAATGCAGGCGGGAGAGATACATGATTATATACACCTGGAAAATCCTAGAGGGGCTAGTACCAAACTTGCACACGAAAATCACTCACTACGAAAGCAAAAGACCTGGCAGACGATGCAACATCCCCCCAATGAAAAGCAGAGGTGTCACTAGCACGTTAAGAGAGAACACAATAAGTGTCAGGGGCCCAAGACTGTTCAACTGACTCCCAGCATACATATGGAGGATTACCAATAGACCCCTGGCTGTCTTCAAGCAGGCACTGGACAAGCACCTAAAGTCACGATAAGATAAGATTTCGTTTGGATTTTTAACCCCAGAGGGTTAGCCACCCAGGATAACCCAAGAAAGTCAGTGTGTCATCGAGGACTGTCTAACTTATTTCCATTGGGGTCCTTAATCTTGTCCCCCAGGATGCGACCCACACCAGTCGACTAACACCCAGGTATCTATTTGCTGCTAGGTGAACAGGACAATAGTGTAAGGAAACGTGTCGAAATGTTTCCACCCGCCGGAAATCGAACCCGGGCCCTCCGTGTGTGAAGCGGGAGCTTTAGCCACCAGGCCTGACTAGCCGGGCTGTGGTTCGTATGTTGGGTTGCATGCAGCCAGCAGTAACAGCCTGGTTGATCAGGCTCTGATCCACCATGAGGCCTGGTCACAGACCGGGCTGCAGGGGCGGTGACCCCTGGAACTCTCTCCAGGTAAACTCCAGGCAGATCAAAAACCACCTTTTAGCTAATATATACTTATGGTGCAGCAGCAGAGTGTAACTAATAAGCCAGACCATCCTATTGACACAGTCTTGCCAAAACAACATGGAACTGACTCTCGGCTTCCTTTGAGACACACATTAAAATAGTGGATAGCACCATCACGGCCCCTGGGCAAAGTTTATACTAATCTTGTCTTTGTGTTAAGTAGCTTAAATAAACAGTCTCAAGTTTGATATATCACAAGCACTCCTTGCTTTACACGGGTTATGATGCTCCAACCAAACATGGAGTCAAAAAATTTGTGTCGAGATATTAATGTTATTTGTGTAACCCGGGTGTGGATTGTCTCTGTTGCTAATGATGGATTGCAAGAACTGGTTGAGGTGTTTTGTGGGTGTGGGGAGGGGTGTTTGTGGGTGTGGGGAGAGGTGTTTGGGGGCATGGGGAGGGTGTTTGTGGGCATGGGGAGGGGTGTTTGGGGGCGTGAGGAGAGGTGTTTGTGGGTGTGGGGAGAGGTGTTTGGGGGTGTGGGGAGAGGTGTTTGGGGGTGTGGGGAGAGGTGTTTGGGGGTGTGGGGAGGGGTGTTTGTGGGTGTGGGGAGAGGTGTTCGTGGGCATGGGGAGAGGTGTTTGGGGGTGGGGTGTTTGGGGGTTGTGCTTGGGGGTGGGGTGTTTGGGGTGTGGGGAGGTGTGTTTGTGGGCGTGGGGAGACGTGTTTGTGGGCGTAGGGAGGGGTGTTTGTGGGCATAGGGAGGGGTGTTTGTGGGCGTAGGGAGGGGTGTTTGGGGGCGTGGGGAGGGGTGTTTGGGGGCGTGGGGAGAGGTGTTTGTGGGCGTTGGGAGGGATGTTTGGGGGTGGGGAGGGGTGTTTGGGCGTGGGGAGGGGTGTTTGTTGGCGTGGGGATAGGGGTGTTTGTTGGTGTGGGGGTGTTTGTTGGGTGGGGGGTGTTTGTTGGCGTGGGGGGTGTTTGTGGGCGTGAAGAGGGGTGTTTGTGGGCGTGGGGAGGGGTGTTTGGCGGCGTGGAGGAGAAGTGTTTGGGGGCGTGGGGAAGGTGTTTTTGTGGGAGTGGGGGAGGAGGGTGTTTGGGGGCGTGGGGAGGGGTGTTTGGGGGGTGGGGAGGGGTGTTTGGGGGCGTGGGGAGGGGTGTTTGGGGGCGTGGGGAGGGGTGTTTGGGGGCGTGAGGAGGGTGCTTACATATATATGTGTGTGTGTGTGTGTGTGTGTGCCTAGTTTATTCAGTAACTAGAAGATCTATGAGGCAGAAATATATAATCTATTTGTGTCTTTATATATATAAACGGGATGACTTCAGGTATATCTAAGAGAATGAGTATAACTGAAGAAAGAATAACTATGGGAAGAAAAGGAGAGGGTATAAATGCTTAAATTCTAGAATTTCTGCGATTAGAATAAAGGGTGGATATGAGAAGTGGGTTATAATAAATTTTTATGATCCTAAGGTGAGAGAGAATGGAAGATATTAAAGAAATTGTTTCACATATACTCTTTTTAAAGGGGGGGGGGGAGTGCTCGATATGCATGAATCAAACATGATCATTTTCTATTAAGCAGTTGCTGAGCCATCCATACAGGTTTAATGCTTCCATCATGAGTATTATAATTATAGCCTCAAAAAAATTTAATTTCATCCAAAAATTTGGTGTACCATGGCTCAGCTGGTATCTTTTCAGCTTACACACTGAGGGACTGGGGGGTTCGATCCCTTGTATGGTCTGAAACATTGCGTATGTTACCTCACACCTACTGTACCTGTTCACCTAGCAGTAAGTAGGTACCTGGGTGTTAATCAGATGGAGTGGGTGGCATCCTGGGGGGTAGGATACCTTAGGTCAGGGCCTTGAACTAAGCTGAGGTAGGATAACGGCTCTTAGTCTGTAAATGAGCTGAGGCAGGATAAAAGGCCTTAGCCTATTAATTGAACTGTGTAAGACAAAAGGCATAACTCACATTTTTCTTAGATTGTTAGATTTAAAGCCTAACACAAGTCAATAGGCCTACACACAAGCTATGCCGTAATCCTTAACAAAGGGAAGAAACTGGTGTGTGTGTATATAGAGATACCTTTGTTGGTTAGTGTGGTTTGAACCCTATCTACTACACGAGGGTCATTAAGGCTGCATGCCATTTGTTCACCACCAGTCAAGAATATTTTAATATCGATTGCTATCGCACTCAGCTCACACTGAGTGTCAGTGGTTCGATTCCCGGTACGGGCGGAAACATTAAGACGTGTTTCCTTAAGACACCTGCTGTCCATGTTCACCTAGCAGTAAAATAAGTACCTAGGTTTTAGTGGACTGGTGTGGGTCGCATCCTGCGGCAAAAGTGACCTAATTTGCCCGAAATGCTCTGCGTAACAAGGGACTTTCTATAGAGTATGTTATTGATGTCAACTAGGCATGTATACTTTGTACATGTACTTGTGGAAATAAAGATTATTATTATTATTAAAGTAAACTCGGTAGGTATAATGTTTGTCGGGAAACAGAACAAGTGTTTCCTGGCGCGGATGACCCACAGCTGGGGCTTTGGTCATCTGACCGAAGCCTTCCGCTGGCTTACCGGTCCACTCTAAAAATCGTGGTTATGATTATAACTATTGAATATGTAGGGTGATAAACATTCCTGCACAATGTATATATATACTATGTCGTCTCTTGCACTCAACCACCGTAATAATATGCCTGTATCCTTGCTATGTTTTACGGTTTCCAAATTGCTATTTTACGAAGATATCACTTTTTTTTCTTAATTCGATAAAAATACCATTTGAACCATTTTTTTTTGGGGGGGGGGATAATTTGAGTAGTGAAAACTTATACATAGTGTTGTGTGTGTAAAAAGAGAGCAGTAGTAAAGTGTAATAAGAGAAAGCAATAGTAATGTGTAATAAGAGAGAGAACAGTATGTGTAAATAATAAGCAGAAAGAAAACAGTAAAGTGTAATAAAAGAGGGACACAAGTGGAAAAGTGTAATAAAAGAGGGACACAAGTGGAAAAGTGTAATAAATAAGACAGAGACAGCAGGAGTAAAGTGTCAAAATAAAGCGAAAACACAAATGCAGCAGACACAATAGTAAAGCAGTTATTAAGTAAAGAGAGAGGCTTCAGAACAAGGTTTCACTGGGACCACTTTTCGCTCTATGAGGAGCGAAACGTGATCCCCCATAAAACCTAGCCCAAGACCGCGTCTTCTCTAGTCCGGAATTAATATCGAAGTTCCTGTCTGGTGTCAAAATATTCCTAAGTTGTTTGCTTAGTAAAATCTGGTGGTAATAAAGCTTTAAATATTGTTTTGCTCTATAATAAAGCTGGCATTACTCTAAGTCAAACGGTTAAGCGTTAATAGCAACAGTAAACGGTTAAGCGTTAAGAGCCAACGGTAAACGGTTAAGCGTTAACAGCCAACGGCAAACGCTTAATAGATAGCAGCCAACGGTTAAGCATTTATAGACAACAGCAAACGGTAAAGGGTTAACAGCAACAAACGGCAAAGCGATAACAGGCAACAAAGGGACAAAAGGGGCTGAGTAAAGGGAGATGAGTAATGGCATTAGTTAGCTATGCGTGTGTAACAGCAAGTTAGCAAAACAAATTAACGATCTAACTTACGTAGTCATTCCACACCTGAAAGTAATGGGAGAAAAAAAAATCAAAATATTTGCGACAACCGTTGTATACAAATATGCAAATATACTTTTTATAATGTAAATCAAATATTGTACATAGCCTCACGAAAATAAGATTTTTAAATATTATTGTTTTCTTTTATTAAAAATATATTATTTATTGATTTTTGTGTTTAGAAGTATAAGTTGTAACCTTAATAGAACTGAAGAGTTTATGGGACAATTCTGGGAAGTTAACAAACCTGAAGTAAACAATCTGAACAAAACTGCAACGTTTAGAGAGAATAAATTAAAAAAAAGTAGACTGTAAAAGGCAAGTTTGAAAGAAAAAAAAAAGAACAGCGAATTTTAATGGGTAACTAAAGGAGTGCTATAGGTAGCAACTTAAGTAAAATATATCAGAATAAAAGGGATAAAGTAGTTTATGTGAAGAAACGCTGGGAGAGAAGCCGAGGTTGATGACTTCTGAGAGTACAGCCGTGTTTAAGACTTTTTTTTTTTTAGAGAATATTTGAGTTTATTAAAGTGGAGGAAATCGTAGAAAACTGAGTTTAAGTGGGATAACTTTGAGAGAACAGCTGAGTTCAAGGGGCTGGAACTTTGAGAGGGCAGCAGACGCACCTCGATAACTCTGTTCTTAGGGGGCCGTCCGCGCTTACGCTTGAACATGGCATCAACGGAGGTCACGGCAGCGACGCCTATTGGTCCCCCGGCGCCAGGGGGGGTCGCTAGGGCCAGGCATCGTGCGTAGTCGTGCATCCGGAAGTGTTCGAGGCGTCGAAAGGGTTTGTCGCCTGACGCCAAGATGGCCTCGCCGCACCCCTCCTGCACACGCCATCACGCTCAGTTAGTACACACACAACACCACACCAACAATATACGCCAAATAAAAATAAAGGCATAAGAAAACTACAAAATAATACATTACATATGTTACAAGAAAATTAAGGAAAGCTGAGGAGACAAACACACCAGCCCAGAGTGTAAGTTCACTAACAGTGTTAAGTTCACTACCATAACACGCGATACAACAATTAGTTTCATACTAAATAATATGAATTACTAAAACTAAAAAAAACTTCAGGAAAGTTTGCCTCCATAAATTAGACCTTAGAATTATGTTATTCCTGTACTGCTAGCTTAGCATTATTATAACAACTTAAAGTGTTAAAAAGTTTTGTAAAGCTAAGAAGAGGCTTGTTTTAATTTCTTTGTTAGACTACAATCAGTGAAGCAAGCATGTGTAAGTGCAGTGAACAACGCTTTTGCCAACCAGGAAAATACTCCCAACAAATCCATGATTTAAGAAGTTTGAAAATGAATGCGAGTTTTGATTTTGACATGCACTCATGAGCTCAAGAACTGCTCACTACCAGAGCATTCAACGATTATCAGAGGGGACTTACCCAGTTGCAGTGGAAATGGTCTGCATGATCCTGGATGGAACAGTCTGGGGGACACGGGCGAGGGTCGTCAGTGCTCGTCACCTTGGTGTAGTGGTCGTCCGAAATCAGGGTTTGTTGTTCGTGGACACGTCCATGGTCACGGGCGCTCTCGCGCCCACGGAACACAGCCTCACACTCGTCGCAGTGCCAGTGTTCCATACCCGTCAGATCGCAGCCAGTCCGGCACGGCTCATCCCGGCTGTGACACCGGACCCAGCGCTCCCAGTCACGGTCTTCGGCTCCACTCATACTAACACTCAGGTCAACTGGCGACGCCGGTCCCGAAGACGAGGATGCTGGGGTTGAAGCTGAACTGGTGGCGGAGCCACCGTGGAACAGACCGTGGGCGGCCGGAGGTGCCACCGCTAGAAGGCGAGCTAGTGGGTGCTGAGATTCGGCTAAACCAGGAGGAGGAAAACCGCCCATTAGTAAGCCGGGCGGCCTTTGGAGTCCTGGGGGTAGGGAAATGGGCGTGACGGGAGCAGGAACGGATCCCAGAGGAGACGAGGAATCCTCACTTCTTTGGTCAATAGGACACATGGGGCCTCCCATGGGTCCACCAAGTGGTCCCATCAGGGGGTTGATCATGTGCCCCCCTAGGGTACCAAGGGGCCGCAGTGCCTCGTGAAGGAGAGGGGTGAGGGCGGGATGGCCCTCTGGCATTCCCAACATTGTCTGTGCCAGCTTGTACTTGCGGTAGGCTCTCTCGTGGTCTTGACGTTCGTGTTTTCTCTGTACAAAATAAACAAACTTGTCAAGTGCACTAATCAGCGGGTTTAACTAAGAAGATATTTGGAAATATAACAAGGATAAGCGCAGTGAATAAACCGCAACAAAATACAAAGAGAGCTCTTTGGTAAAGCAAACAATCAACTATCGGTATTGTTACCAGGTGTAAGAGCAGAGTGTTGAAGTGCACCTTGTGAGCGAATATCTGGCCGGAGGAATGCAGGACGTAGTTACAGTCAGGCCGGATACAATGGATGTGGTTGACCACGCGAGAGAATTTACACGCCTCGTACGGACACTCCTCCTGTTTCATGAACTTCTTGAAGCCGTCCTTGGTCAGCTGCTCGTCCTTGATATGGTACGTCTTGTGCTTCTCTGCGGGGAAAGAGTTTGTTATTATACTTGTATTAAATCGAGGAAAAAAGTCTCTTGAATTATAGGAATATAAAAGAGAGAAGCGAGATGGTAAACAGAGTGCAGTGATGCGAGTTCACAAGGGAATTCTTTTATTCATTGTGTTCTGTAGCAAATGCAAACGAATATTATTTTTTATCATTAGAGAATAACTTTTTCTCAAACCGTGTAATAAAACAAATGATTGACTAGAATGGAAGAGACAGGAAGAGAGACAAGAGTGTGTATCCTAACTTACCCATGTCTGCCTTGTTCTTGAAAGTGTAGTTGCAAGCGGTTCTCATACAGTGGAAATGGGTGGTGCGCTGGCCGTTGAAGGAGCAGGAGGGTTGGCCACAGTCTTCAGAAGCACGGAACCTCTGGAAGCCCTCCTGCATGATGGCCGAGTCCTTACGGTGGTAGTTGGCGTGCATCTGGACGTCTGATGTGCTGATGTATACTTTGTCGCAGCCCTCCTGTCGGAGGCAAATGTGCTAAGGCTAACATTGAGAGTAGCGGATGGAGGATCGAGTCTCCATCCCTTATAGGACTGTATGACCCACAGTCGTTCAACGCTTCACATAAAGTATGTAGTTATGTTAAGGCTACCTACATGTATGTTTTTTATACCAAAATAACCTTCATGGTCTTCAAACTATGTCAGTGTGGACTAAAATTTAATGAACGAGTAAAACAGGGAAGACATCTATTCCAATCATTAAGGGAAGGAGACTACCCTAACCTCACAAGCCTGGATTGGGAAAACTACCTTTAGATAACTACATTCAAGGAAGACACCTTCCCCGACCTCGCAAGACCGTGAGGAACCTACCTTGAGACAGTGGTAGTGTGTCTGCTTGCGGTTGTGAGAGCAGTTATTGAAGCGGTCGGAACAGTCATCGGAAGGAGAGTAGCGCATGAAGCCGTGTTGAAGACTCTCGTCCCGCTTCTTGTGCCACTTGAAGTGTCTGATCATCTCCTCCTTCTTGCTGAACACTTTCGAGTTGCACTCCAAGCAGTGAAAGTGCTCTCTGTTGTATTGAAAATCGGCATGGGTTTAAACGGCAAATTTTAATAAGTATTTTGAGCATAAATAATATACTGCAGTTAAAAATTCGTACCTCGAAATATATATCCCTCATTCATTGAAAACAGTTGGGTTTAATTATTAGAAGATACGTCAGAGCATGAAAAAATACAACAGCCTCTATATAAATCTAAATAAAATACCGACAACAGTGAAGACTGGTTACGGAAGAAGCTTACTGAACAACTTTTCGCTCTATAGATCTACACAGAGCAAAACGTTCACCTAATAAATGCTTGTTCTACAAGGTATCACTTAACTCCTATGACGAAAACATGAATTTGTCCCGTAATTAAAAAAATAAGGCAAGGAAAATAGAACTGTGCCTAAACTATCATTACTAAGATGCCTTGACTCTGGACCGAAAATGACTATTTCTCATCCCCAGGCGCTATTTGACCCCAGCGAGCGACCCTCGCCCATGAAATTACTACTACTAATAGTGACAGTGAGTTCAAGGAATGGACTAACCTGAGGTTGTGTTCCCTGCAAGGAAGGTGGCCACACTCCAGGGCTGAGCTGTAAGGCTTGACGTAGCGGGAATAATCTAGCTGGGGTTTGTTAAGGGCTTCCCTCACCCCCATGCCCCCGGGCACTAGGGATGAGGGAGCGCCGCCCCCTGATCCCAAGGATAGTCCCGCCAGCCCAGGAGTCACTGTCGGAAAGAAACAAGTCACGTTATGTCAGTGAAAATCCGAAACCACAGGAAATGAGCCTACCGTCCTGTCACAGTACTGATTCGTAGTTAGAAAATAGTTTATGTAGGCTTCTCGGGAAATTAATAGGCTTAAAAATCATGATAACTACACAATATGAAGGAAATGATAACAGTTTGAAAGAAATCGCGATAACTGTGCAATAACAAGAAAGAAATCGTGATTTTTTCAAGCGTAACCTTGAACTCCGTGTTACATATATTTATGTGTATCATTCCTGAATACAGAATGGTCACAGACTGCGACACATCAGTATATATTATATATATATATATATATATATATATATATATATATATATATATATATATATATATATATAATATATATATATAATATGTGCCGAATATGTAAAACTGATCAATTAGCGAGAACTCATTTAAAATAAGTCCTTTCTAAAATTTTCTCTTATACGTTTAAAGATATATTTTTTTCCATTAATGTTAATGAAAAAAAAATTCATTTTGCACCAAAAGAATCTTAGAAAACTTACCTAACCTTATTATAACAAGAGCAATTTATTTTAGCCTAACCCAACTAAATATATTTTAAATACGTTTACAATAATTTAGTACTAAAGAAACACAATCAAATATATTTTTTTTCGTAAGCTTCAGAATGATTTTGGCGAAATTATTGCATACACAAATTTTCACTTGTCCTATATGGCAAGATGAGCGTTGCTATTTAGGCCAAGATCGCAAGTTCTGCCTATTCGGCACGACATTTATATATATATATATATTATATATATATATATATATATATATATATATTTATATAATATATATATTTATATATATATATATATATATATATATAATATATAATTATAAAAAATATTATATATATGGGAGACTAATTTATGAGGACGTTTCTGTTCGATTTGACCATTAATAAGTTGCTCCAGCCACTATTATGATTTTTTGGTTCTCTATACATCCTTTTAAGCTAAAGTTAAGTTAGATTTGGTTAACTATGCCTACAGATTTTAGACTTTGTCGGCGAAGCGGTTAGTTTATTGTACACCCATAATCCATCCTGTGAACGGTAGCTGCTAATTTATTGTGCATCCTATGTAAAGCCTCTGGACGGTAGTGGCTAGTTTACTGTGCACCCCTATCCATCCTGTGAACGGTAGTGGCATATCCATCCTGTGAACGGTAGTGGCATATCCATCCTGTGGACGGTAGTGGCATATCCATCCTGTGGACGGTAGTGGTATATGTATCCAGTGAATGGTAGTGGTATTTTTATCCTGTGGACGGTAGTTGTATATCTATCCTGTGGACGGTAGTGGCATATCCATCCTGTGGAAGGTAGTGGTATATCTATCCTGTGGACGGTAGTGGCATGAACATTAGTGGCATATCCATCCTGTGGACGGTAGTGGCATATCCATCCTGTGGACGGTAGTGGCATATCCATCTTGTGGATGGTAGTGGCATATCCATCCTGTGGACGGTAGTGGTATATTTATCCAGTGAATGGTAGTGGTATTTTTATCCTGTGGACGGTAGTTGTATATCCATCCTGTGGACGGTAGTGGCATATCCATCCTGTGGACGGTAGTGGCATATCCATCCTGTGGAAGGTAGTGGTATATCTATCCTGTGGACGGTAGTGGCATATCCATCCTGTGGAAGGTAGTGGTATATCTATCCTGTGGACGGTAGTGGCATATCCATCATTTGGACGGTAGTGGCATATCTATCCTGTGGATGGTAATGGCATATCCATCCTGTAGACGGTAGTGGCATATCTATCCTGTGGACGGTAGTGATATATCTATTCTGTGGACGGTAGTGGTATATCTATCCTGTGGACGGTAGTGGCATATCTATCCTGCAGACGGTAGTGGCATATCCACCCTGTGGACGGTATTGGTATATTTATCCTGTGGACGGTAGTGGTACATCCATCCTGTGGACGGTAGTGGTATATCCATCCTGTGGACGGTAGTGGCATATCCATCCTGTGGACGGTAGTGGTATATCCATCCTGTGGACGGTAGTGGCATATCCATCTGTGGACGGTAGTGGTATATCATCCTGTGGACGGTAGTGGCATATCCATCCTGTGGACGGTAGTGGATATCCATCCTGTGGACGGTAGTGGCTATATTTCATCCTGTGGACGGTAGTGGTATATCCATCCTGTGGACGGTAGTGGTATATCCATCCTGTGGACGGTAGTGGCATATCCATCCTGTGGACGGTAGTGGTATATCCATCCTGTGGACGGTAGTGGTATATCCATCCTGTGGACGGTAGTGGCATATCCATCCTGTGGACGGTAGTGGTATATCCATCCTGTGGACGGTAGTGGTATATCCATCCTGTGGACGGTAGTGGCATATCCATCCTGTGGACGGTATTGGTATATTTATCCTGTGGACGGTAGTGGTATATCCATCCTGTGGACGGTAGTGGTATATCCATCCTGTGGACGGTAGTGGTATATCCATCCTGTGGACGGTAGTGGTATATCCATCCTGTGGACGGTAGTGGCATATCCATCCTGTGGACGGTATTGGTATATTTATCCTGTGGACGGTAGTGGTATATCCATCCTGTGGACGGTAGTGGTATATCCATCCTGTGGACGGTAGTGGTATATCCATCCTGTGGACGGTAGCGCGAAGACATGAATACACAAAAGAGCCTAGGAACTAGGCCACAGAAGGGCTAACAGGAATACATATGGATATATTTATACAATTTATATACTTATAAAACATGTGACCATACACACACAAAAAACTCAGGGAAACATGTAACAACGTCTCGATAGAAAAAAACCACGAGACGTTTAAATCTAAAGGTTTATTTAAAGGCTTATGTGAAGGTTTATCATGCACATCAGAGGCCACGCCCACCAGATGGCTACTTAAAAGCCAGTACAGGAATACTGGCTTGGACGATGGTCTGCAAATACATGATAAATTCGCATGATACACCCTCATAGTGCTATATAATGGGCGCTTGATCAAGTCTTTTACCCGCATCAAGGCACCTGCCCCTTCCCTGAACCACACAACTGTTGTGGGTACCTGCTTCTCTGCTGTTTTCCAGACAGTGATAATCCTCTTAATCACCTTATCTCAGCAGTGGTGGTGCTGACTCCTGGGTCAGGGGAAATTTCTCATGACGCGAGTTAGGATCCTGGAGTCTACCTGGAGGGTATTCCGGGGATCAATGCCCCCGTGGCCCGGTCCACGACCAGGTCTCCCGGTGGATCAGGGTCTGATCAACCAGGATGTTACTGCTGGCCACACGTAGTCCAACGTACGAACCACAGCCCGGCTGATCCGGCACCGACTTTAAGTATCTGTCCGGTTCCCTTTTGAAGGCAGCCAGGGGCCTATTGGTAATTCCCCTAATGCTCGGTGGGAAACTGTTGAACAGTCTTGGGCCCCGGACACTTATGGTGTTTTCTCCTAGTGTACCAATGGCGCCCCTACTTTTCATTAGGGGTATTTTTGCATCGCCTGCCCAGTCTTTTACTTTCGTAGGGAGTGATTTCTGTGTGCAGATTCGGGACCATTCCTTCTAGGATTTCTCAAGTAGGTTACACAAGTTGGTCAGTGGTTAAGCAGCCAATGGTGTTCCAGCACTGGGTATCACTGATCAAGCAACCAATGGTGTACCAGTACTCGGTATCACTGATCAAGCAACCAATGGTGTACCAATACTGGGTATCACTGATTAAGCAACCAATGGTGTATTAGTAGTGGGTATCACTGATCAAGCAACCAGTGGTATACCAGTACTGGGTATCACTGATCAAGCAACTACTGGTGTACCAGTACTCGGTATCACTGATCAAGCAACTACTGGTGTAAGGTTTAATTTAAGCCTGTCTGCTACACTAGGATTAATGCTGCATGTCACTTGTACAACACCGCTCAAGAACACTTTAATCCCTAAAACGTATGTTATAGTGGGTTTTCAGCTTATATAGTCTGACATATTTTTTCGGCATATACACTCTTCCAGTATCTTGAAAAAAAAATTAAACAGATAACATTGTCTACTGCACACTTCTTGGTGTACAGCAGGGCAGACTTACCTAATCTTAGAGCCTTCATGTCTTCAAAAAACAAAACAATAACACAAGGCCGCAGTTGTGACTAAATAAAAAAAAATACAAAGCCGCGGATGGTGCGATATCCACTCCATCACACACAGGAACTGCGGGACATCCACTGGGAACCAGTCACTCCCAAACGTCGGAAACAGTCTAGACTGGTTAAAAAAAAGATTGTAGATTGTCCAAGCTTTTCAAAGTAGCGTGAGACAATGGGATAACTTAACTTTGTAGTCCAGTCTTTTCAAAGAACATGTCTCACCGAAGAGAAGAAATATGAGTGTTGTGTATGGCTGGTGGAGGGCGTGGGGGCGGGGGCGGGGGCGTGCTTCCGCTGGCCGCCGAGGAGGATGGCATAGCCCCGACTTGGATCCGACGCGATACCCTCCGCCCTTGTGCTCGGTCGCACCAAGAGTGAGACTCGCGTGGCGGCTGCAGCGCGCGATCAATTGCACGACTAACTCAGGATGTCCTGGTAGTGGGGGGAGAGTCCCGCCGCCCCTCCTTCCCCTCCTAAGTGACCACCGCCGCTGGAAGGACGGGAAGGCGCTCCTACTGACCTCCTGAATCACGGAGCGCCCTCTCCTACTGCCTCCCTCAATCACCTCACAAAACACTCCCGGTAACTCCTAGCCATCAGCCTCACAGGTGCCCGTCAAGGCGGACATAAGAATTATTTCTTTATAAGTGACTTCCTTTCAGCTACTTGCAATCAACAGACACCTACGTATCCTCCTTTAAGCTTGCAATGTTTTTGTTTCTCACTTAGTCCTGCATAAGCCAGAGTATTCGACAGCAGTAACTTACATTCCTCAATATACAATAGTGCCTCCCGTGGTTCCTGCTACAC